CTTCAAACCTCTGGCACTGCTTAGATATCCTGGCCTGGTCAGCTCTGTCTAGTAAAAGCATGTAAGTTCAATGAAGTCTGATCTGTCTGGTGATTATGGAGAGCAAAGAAACAGATTCATGACAATGCATTATTTAAATTGTATTAGGAAAATAACTTGGTTCAAAAAAACAATGTGTTATTTATAAAAAAGATGCCTGCTGGGGTACTTATTTGGTTTGCTTAAGACATATATTTGTTGATCAGTCATTGTGAAAACTGATTTGCTATAATTGTAAATCTTGTTTTTCATCACTAGTGTGGCTATTGGAAACAGATGATTTGATGCAGTCATGTCATTCATCTTATAGTACATACATACATCAATAATATAATACTAGATGTCATCCTGCTGTTTGTATCTATAGTATTTGTTACATGTGTTTACTGTGCATAAAAAGTGCAAAAAACATTAGGATATTGACTGTATATTGTAAGAAATATTTCAACAAAATATTTGAATTGTAAATACCGTGAATCCTAATGAGATGATGTTCATGAATTACTACTGAGAGAGTTAAAAACAATGTGTAATAAATGTGTTTGCCAATCAGATTACTGTACCGTTTTATTTTGTCCATAATTGTTTACAACAATAACACAGATCTGTACAAAGTGCAATATTTATAAACTATGAACAGTATTTTTTAATGAAATATACATTATTTCTTATTACAATCACTTTAATGTGCGTTAATTGATCAAAAAAGAATTTGCAAATATATATGTTTTCATAATAAATGTGAGGTTCTCTGGCTAATAAATGGAACCTAGATGTGGTGTAATTATTAAGAGAATAATATAGTTTAAAATAAAAACTGTGCGTTATTTATAAATTGTGTCAATTACATGAAATATGCAGATGAATAATTTGTTTTTTATTCTTTATATAAGATGATTTTGATATGTTATACAACAAAATTAATATACCAAAACAATAAATATATAACTATTCATATTGTGTGTTGACTGTGTAAGTGTGGAGAAAAGTACTAACACTATGCAAATAGATATATGAATGGCATGTAAAATTTGTAAATTTGAAATGATAGCCAAGTCATCGCGTACATGCAAGCTGCCATATCACAATTAACATCACCTGGTTTGATACTCTCATCTGATTGGTTAACAGTTTTAGTTTTATGATATGCACATGTACGCTTGTAATGCAACTTGTATATGTACGAGTTTTTATAACAGCCTTATTTCGCATTAAGCGTGACTGTGCATATTTGATAGTATAGTATAGTCGTCTGTAAGATGCAAAACGCAACTGGCGGCTTATTAGAGCACAGTCCCTCAAAAAAAATTGTTGAGGGACTGTGATTAGAGGGAGGAGTCAACAAATTGAAATCATTATGCTGAGTTGTATCTGATCGCTGTGGAGTGTTTGATTTGAGTGGAACTGATCTTCATTGCTTAGATTCCTTTATTGAATGACTCCACGTTGCACAACTAGAATTATACTGGCCTAGTAACGTAACATAGTAGATTCATTAATGAATATTAATTTTCATTTTGCATACCTAACTGAAGACATGAATAACTTATTGTTATTACTGTCTGTATATTATGAATTCAGTGCTGAAAAGAAGTAATAAAAAGATGACTAGGTTAATTAATCAGAAGTATGATTTTGTTTGCAATTTTATTTTAAAAACATGGACAGTTAACATTAGGGAATTTTTGTCATGTGTGCGGAAAACTTTGACGCATCGTCAGTGTCCAATCCTCTCTGTGCAAGCTGGAACATTAAACTGTAAAACCATTTATTTTCATTGACATGTTCACTGTGTTTTAATTTCGCGATTTTGTCAAGAAAACGATGATTTCTATAGTTATTTTACATGTTTACGTAGATTTAATTTAGGGATTTTACTTATCAGCAAAAATACCGAAATTAAAACCCAGTGAATAATTAATGCATTGACAGTACCTTGGAAATGCAAGACAGAATGCCTTGGGTAGGATAGGCCCATGGATAGACTAGAACACAATCGTTACGATGTTTAATTTTAAATTCCTACAATGCAGAAGAACTAGATTATTTTATTTAGGTGAATCGAAATAGCAATGAAAAATAGACATGGTCTGACGTAATAATTACAGTGAATTGGTTAGTCATACTTATACCTCCATGGTCATACTAAATTCTCAGTAAATATGACGTCATCGGTGAGTTCATTGTCGTTTGAGCATTGAACAGAAAAAAACTTTAATAACTTGTATGTATTGTTTGACATTGCATTGTATATTGTTAACAACGGCAGCCAGTCAAAAATTGTGAAAACCCCCTTCTTTTGTGTATCTGTTTTCAATGGTGGATGTTTTCAATGGTGTTTTCAATGGAGTGTAGTGTCGTTGAGGGCGTTGATCTGACACGCTTTCTGTTTTTTCGGCCTTAGTGCAGTGATTCCGTGCAAAGCAGGCACCGTCATCGTAGATATCGGTGATAATTTGGCGATCTCGCGACAATTCTAGTTATAAACATAGCCACGTAATCACTCTATTTAATAATTGTTTTAATCTAAAAATGTTTATTTTTAACAATGCTTGTCATACAAATTGTGGAAATTCCCACCTTTTTTTAGAATTCCACGTAATCATGACGCTAGGCATACAATAGACTAAAAGTTGGAATCGGACCTTTTCGATTTGCTGCTACTTTCGGACAGCCCACAAAGCCAAACAGACGATATCAGACTAAGTGCTACGCAGCGACGGCGGACATCTCATCAGGGATTTTCATTCTGAAGTTTAAAAGCAATCACCATGCCTTATCACTACGGGAAGACAGAACTCACGTTACTAGTACAACTGGGTCCATATATTTCCTTCGTAATCGAAACCACTCAGGTAATACTATGCATATCGAGTTATTGCTTACTGAATGTAATTTATATTGATGGCTATACGACGGTGTATGACAACTTAGCCGTACATGTTTTTTGTTCACCGTGTGAAAACTAGACTAGTTTTCGTGGATATAAATCGGTATACTTAATCTATATAATTACACGTTATCCCCGCGTGGGGATAGAAAACATCTTATATGTATTTTTGTTTCGAGATCTTAGGTCAATCATGGTGTGTTTTCATTGTAATTTGTGAGGATGTCAGTGACCATTTAGAAGCAGGGAAAAGCCAAAAGGATTTGGGTTTGATTAACATTGCTACTAGTCTAGTCTAGTGACAAATATAACGATGAATTATATACATCTATTGACCGATATAAAGCGTCGTGTTCACATTTTCGTACAAGAGTTATTTCAAATATGCACATACATACAATGAGTTAGTACCTAAAATGAGTCACTCCAACCACCGGGTTTTCCAGCTCGGGTATTTCCCAATTCTTAGTAAACTAGCATGTCTGAGTATTTTGTAACTACTCGAGGACCATCAAAGCCGTTCCCTTATTTTGTTAAAAAAAATAATAAATATTCGTCTGTTTTTGGAAGATAATTCGACTAGATAATTTTCGTATGCGAAGTAACCACAATTATGTTTCAATCAATGACGAGACAGAAAGATCAGAAAAATAAAGCTTGAGGGTGGGAAAATGAGGGTAGGAGCATTTATTAGTGCTACTTCAGTCAATCTTCTTGTGCCCATCTATCATGGGGTGGGGGTTGTCATGTTGACATTGACTGGCGCATTATACACAATTCAAGATGTGATACAAATCAACTTTAATACAAAATATACCATGAACAAATCAATCTTTGTGTTTTATTTTTTTTTCATATTCAATGCTAATATTGTATATGTTACACCGTGACGACATTTCTCTGTCACCACGCTACGTAACCAATACTTATACAATACTATCAAAATTATCTTATCTTTTTATTGCAGAACGAGAGCGTGGACAGTGTTATGCAGACAATCTACACTAGAACAAACATACCACCACAATATCAACGCGTTAATCATAAGGGAACAGAGCTTCAGCCAGGGCAAGGAATGTGTCTTTTCCATTACAACTTTGAAGAATACTCAACACTGCTGCTATCTGATGCCCGCGTTAAAACAACTGACGCTGGGACAGAGGACGAACGTTCCGATTCTGAATGGCGCTCAGTAATTCTGAAGGAATGTCCCAAAAATACGATTGGTTATATTTCCAACTGTCCCACGATTCGCGCATGCCCGGCATGTAAAATGGTCATTGAACACAATGGAGGATGCAATGAGATGGTGTGTCGCTGTGGACATAAATTTTGTTTTATATGTTTGCAGCCAGCGTTAAATAATAGATTGAACTGCGGTGCGCATGATTCTACAAGCATCGCGGCAATACAATGTTGAATACATCGATGTTCTATGCACCATTGGGATTATAAGCAGAGTTCCACCGTGACTAATCAGCACAGTTGTTGTCACATTTATTTCGCGATCTAACATAAGTAGAAAACATTCAATGTGATTGGAGCAGGATGTATATTGCATCTATGTTATGTATGTTTTCAAACATACGTTACTATTAAAGTTTCTTAAGAAAAACGTGTATATTTTATATCGTTGTTATAGTATAGCATGGGATATATCAGCGTTGTCTGTGATAATCGTGTTAACATTCAACTTTTATCTCAAGAACCAGACAGAGAATATTGCAGAAAGCAGACATCGTGAAATAAAGTAACTAAAATGATTATTGAGAATATATGTAAAAATAATTTAGCAGCAAACGACATGAACTTCGCATGCACTTTGAATTAATAGTAGGTATCAAATGATATTTCGTTCCACAGTGATAATGTGTCACACGCAACGTAATATTACCGTAATTGGTATAGTACAGGTGTGATGGTTCAAATACCAAAATGGCAACAGTAACAGAAAGACTTCCCTGGCGGCGATGATAAAACACGAACACGGAGACAACAGATGAGGTTTCAACTGGTACTGGTATTATTATACTCTGCAAACATCAAGTATAATAACGCGGTAAAACTCCACTACTCCAATAACTAGATACTTAAACTCCAATACAATTCAACGAGATCTCCGATCTGATCTCAGTGCTGAACAACTCCCCTATATATACCCACACTATCTATAAATAGACCATTACATCAGCATACATAATGAGTCTGGAATTTACTACAAATTTCTAGAATGTTCCATTACCTTCTATTGCCTCCTACAGTGTTCTATTACCTATTCAACCAGTTCCTAAAAAAAATATAGAATATTCCACCCAGACACAGTACAGTTCTAGAAAATTCTCAGTGACACGGAAGTGGTAAATAAGTCGTATGCGACATAATGTCGCAAATTCGCGAAATAGTTAGTTAGAATTACCAGACATTGTGGGATATAAAGAAGTGGCATATTAACCTAACCAACATACTCGCACATATCCATACATGTATTATTGTGTGGGGGGAAAGCTGTCATGTACACATTCATAATAACTGGAAATGGTTTCACAG